TAAAACCAACATGTAGACCAGTAAAACCAACATGAAGACCAGTGGGGCCAACATGTTGACCAGCAAAACCAGTTTGCATCAGGTTGTAAAGTGGTGCGTGTTTGTGTTTCAGGGCGGGCAGCTGGATGAACAGGACAATTCAAGTTTCTTATCGTACAATGTGTACAGATGCATCGACAGATCAGAGGTATTTACTCTCATACATTTTGTGTTGTTGTTCACATGTTTACATGTTGATGACATCAGTTCTGTCAGCCAATCAGAGAGCTGCAGCTCACACCTGTCTCTGTGTCCAGGTGGAGTCTCAGCTGGTTTTCATCAGAGACAGCCTGAGGCTGATCTTTCGCCTCTATAACCATGACAACATCTCCTCGGCTTCATGGGACACCGACAAGATCAAAGAGTTTAAGATTGACATCCACCGACAGACTGAGGAGCTCAGGAGCTGTGTGAGTACAAAAAGTACTTTTACTGCAAACACCTGCTGTCAGTACTTTCAGTTCAACTGATTGCTGAACTACTTCTACTTATCCCAAATGTCCTGTTGTTTTTATTATAGAGTCATCATTAAAACACAAAAATTGTTGTGTTGTTTAAAAAAAATTATAAACTCTGAATAAAAACAGAAAATTGCTTTCTTTTTTAAACGACAAATTCACCATCAAAATAGAAAAATAGTCCTTTTTTTCCGCAGAAACTTTTTCTATTATTTTACAGATGTAAAATAATGAAAACACTTAAACATCTTTCACAGCTAGCACTTCAACTGCAGCTCAGGTTCTGAATTCAATTAGATGTCTGCTGGTGATTCAGCTGCTTTCACAGCTTCCACTTTGCTTCACCTGCTGTTTCATGTTCAGCATCAGGTGGAAAAAAGAAAAGACGATCTGATGAGTTTTTGTCTTCAGGTGTCGAAGCAACAGCCGGCAAACAGCAAAGCCAGGAGGTGCTATCGGAGGCTGGAGAGTGCACTGTACCGCGCTGTGAGTACTAAAAGTACTGCTGTAGTACTGTTGTAGTATTGGCTGTGGTTACTGACTGTAGTACTGACTGTAGTACTTTGTCCACAGGTTGGCACTGCGTCCTGGGAGGTGCTCAGGGCTGAAACCATATTTCACCTGGAGCACGTGGAGCTGCTGGCAGCCTCCATCAAACATGCAGCCTCCACCAGCCGGACGCGCTCTGCAACCTCCACTACCAGGAGGCGCCCTGCAGCCTCCACCAGCAGGAGACGCTCTGCAGCCTCCACCACCAGGGGACCCTCTGCAGCCTCCACCACCAGGGGGCGCTCTGCAGTCTCCACCACCAGGGGGCGCTCTGCAGCCTCCACCACCAGGGGGCGCTCTGCTGCAGCTCAATAGCAGCACTAAAACAAAGTGTTTCTACTGTCGTTCTGTTTATTTATTTATTTTATTTATTTATTTATTTTATTTAAACTCACTGTTTGGATGTAATTTTTATTTGTACTGATTTTCTACACAAAATGCATTTCTACGCCGATGATGTGTTTTTGTTCTGATAAAAAAAACTTTTTCTGATGTTTCTGTCCGGAACAAATTGCTGTGATTGGTTCTATTTACTGACTTTACAAATTCTGTATTTATGTTGTTTTTTTTTTATTTATGCTATATTTATTAAAATTGATTGTTCTAAAAACACTTGGAATGTTGTTTTTTTGTTGTTTTTTTACTGTCCTTGATTTTTCAATCATCAACTGAATAACTATCAGGAGCAGAAGTATCAGGATATTATTGTTATTGAAACAAGTAGTGGTACAACTGTTGGTATAATTATAATTCTTTAAGCAAGAAGTAGTTGAAGTGTTGGTATAATTACTAGTATTAAAAGAAGAAGTAGCAGAAGTATCTGTCAAGTCATCAAACATCAAAGTATAATTCAAATGTTACTGAACAAACCTCCCAATGATAACAGTATTTTTTTCAAAACTAAAAAACTTAAAATGCACTGTTCCAACTTATTACACACAACAGAGTTCCAAAACATTTTATAGGTTGTAAAGAACTCAAAATGGTCATTTGTTGAATTTACAGCATTAGGAGGTCATATTTACTGAAATCAAAAGCTATTTCCGTCAAAAACATCTGAACAGGTCAAGTTACATTTTAACTTTGGACTCCTTATTTGATAGCAGCTTCACAATTCTTGCATCCATTGAACTTGCGAGTTTTTGGAGAGTTTCTGCTTGAGTTTCGTTGCAGGATGTCAGAATAGCCTCCCAGAGCTGCTGTTTGGATGTAAACAGCCTCCCACCCTCATAGATCGTTTGCTTGAGGATGCTCCAGAGGTTCTCGATAGGGTTCAGGTCAGGGGAGGATGGGGGCCACACCATGAGCTTCTCTCCTTTGATGCCCATAGCAGCCAATGATGCAGAGATATTCCTTGCAGCATGAGATGGTGCATTGTCATGCATGAAGATGATTTTGTAACGAAAAGCACGGATCTTCCTTTTGTACCATGGAAGAAAGTGGACAGTCAGAAACTGCACATACTTTTCAGAGGTCATTTTCAAACCTTCAGGGACATTGAAGCGGCCGACCTGCTCTCTCCCCATGATTCTGGCCAAAACGTGACTCCGCCACCTCCTTGCTGATGTCGCAGCCTTGTTGGGACATGGTGGCTGCCCACCAGCCATCCACTACTCCATCCATCTGGACCATCCAGGGTTGCACGGCACTCATCAGTGAACTAGACTGTTTGAAAATTAGTATTCATGTATTTCTGGGCCCATTGCAGCCGTGTGAGCACTGGTGATTTATGCATACCTGCTAGCCTCTGGAGGATGTTCGTGGGACTCCAGAGCAGCTTCAAATACCTGTTTGCTGCTTTGTAATGGCATTTTAGCAGCTGCTCTCTTAATCCGATGTGTTTGTCTGGCAGAAACCTTCCTTCAGAAACCACACGGCGCATCACGCAGCCACGAGGCGCATCGCATCAGCCCACAGCATACTGGTCTGCGACGGGGAGAGAGAGGAGGGTGGAGAGCCAACCAAGGCGTTGAGTCCAGGGGTGTGTGTGTGTGTTGTGTGTCTTCATGTATGAGTTTGTGTAAGTCCATGGACTCCATCGCCGGCCAGACTCAACAGTGTCTCTGACGTCTGATGCAGGTGATGAGACACGGCCGTTGCCGTGGAGACGACCTCGCAGAGTTCTGGTCCAGAACAAAGTTCACAGGAGAAGGAGTAGGGTAGCGGAGGGGCTGAGCATCTGTCTGCATAACATCCAGGAGAGTGTAGAGGTATCAGCCTTCCAAGGCCAAGGCCGAGGCAGGGGAGCCGAATGAAGACAAAGAAAGATTGTTTGGGTCAGGCCGACACTGCAATTTACTGTCAGACCTTAGAGTCCCACTGGTTCTCTCTGTGATCCAAAAAAGCCGAATTTGATGGCCCATTACATCCGGATCGGGCTGTTCAACCGCTCCAAGGTGGTATCCATCTTGCGAATCAGTTCTTCCATTTTGCGATTTAGTTCGCATATCGCTTGAGTCTGAGAGTTGACCGCCCGAAGCAATCCCTCCATGACGGGCAGCTTGTCAAATGCCAAAACTGCTGCCTCCGTCGTCCGAACTTTGCGATAAAGCAGGAACCCACAAGCTCCAAACAGCAGGAAGCCTGTTATCATGATCCCAATTAAGTAGACGTCTTCAACATCCTCCACGGAAAGTATAAAGAGGCACACAACCCTATTATTAAAGTAACAAGTATTAGATGTGTTGGTATAACTACTATTATTAAAGTAACAAGTATTAGATGTGTTGGTATAGCTACTATTACTGAAAGAAGAAGTACAGATGTGTTGGTGTCGGTGGTTACTGGGGGTGAATCTGTGCAGTTGTGGTGTTTGCTGGTTGAATTCCAGAGATCAGTCAGAAAATATGCTGAAGCATCTGAATAATCATTTTTCCCTTCAAAGCTGAGGTGGAAAGTCTCCAGATGACTTTCACGTTTCTCTACAAACAGCAGCTCTCACTCACTCAGACATAAATCCTCGAGTTTCCTTCCTGGTTTCTGTTCTGCCTAACATGAAGCATGCTGTTCGCTCGCCTTCTCCGTAAATGTAAACCGAGGCTCTCGAGGGTAAACCGCATCCTGACGCTCTGACTGTGACGACATAGATGGGTTTTACTTTGATTCAGCAAAACACAGTAAATGGAACCTAATGCGCGCTTTGGCCATAAGTTTGTGGACAGCCAGGCTCGGCTTGTTTGCTGGAAAGATATTAGTTCACTGTTTCCGAGCTGTTTGTCTTTTAAGATGATTCAGAGGTGAAAAAGTCAGCCTGTTCGCTGCAGTTCTGAAAAAATTAACGTTATTAGTAAGCTAAATCTTAACTTTCTACTTACTTGTAGCTTTAACATCATTAACTATGATCTCAAGTGGTTTTATGTAACATTTACTCAAAGCAGAAGTATTTAAACGGCACTTATAATCAAAGCCTGTCCACATATTTTTGGTCAACAAGTGTTTAGTTTTTAATGACTTTCCTAAAACACCCAATGGTAACTTAAAAAAAAAAATTCTAAATGTATATGGATAGCTAAAGATGTACCCACATGCATCAACAGGGAGTTATTTATATATATACTTACATACATTTTTTAAAAAGCATTTACTTTGTTGTTGTTTTTAATATACATTCAAAAGTATGTGGCCACCCAAAGTATCCTGCATAGTCATAGAACGTGACCAAACTAAAGGAAAAGCCATGTGTTCACTTCTGTCATATCCATTTTTAATTCTCAAGTATTTTATTTACTATTTAATGTCAATGGATGACTTCAGTTAAACTCTTTAAAACATTAATTACTCTGGCATCACTAAAACATTTATATCTTCTAAACAGTTTAAACCCTAAAAGTGTTTTCATCTGAAGAAAATCTATTCATTCTCATTCATGGATGTTCCTTCTAGTTTTTCGAAGCTCTTTAAGATCCCTTAATTTAGTGGCTGACAATATTCCAACATGAATGTGTTAGCAACAAGCCTTTAATGTCGACTTCATTCGTTCATTCATTATAATAATATCAGTTTGAAATCACAGTTGTAAAACCTCTGATGTCATTGTTCTTCTCTAATCACATTATTGTTGTAGTCTTCTTCTTTTACTGTCATCCATGTGTTTGTTAGCAGTCGGCCCTTCCTTTTTGTGTTTTATTCTTTATGTGTATGGAAGTGTGTGTTGCTGATTGGGCTGAATCTTGAGACAGGGCTGGTTAATCTAATTTTTTTCCTGTTTAGGAAGGTGCTTTTCTCTGAACTTTGTTATTCTGTTGAAATTGTTTTTACTTTGTTCTTCTGCTTTGTCAGCTGTGAGCTATTATATCTTTTTTCTTACTTGTTTGTTAAGTTAAACAAACAAAGCCATATACTTTTAGCCATATAGTGTATGAAACATGGATGAATTAGGGAATAAAGAAAACACCAGATGGTCAAAAATATATGGACACACTTTGACTTCATTGTAATACATGGGGTTGAACTCTTCAGCTGTCTATATACTTTTTATATATTTTAAGTCAGCTCAAACTAAACATTGTATGTCCAGTAACATGTGGACAGGGTTTTGAGCTAATAATCTAATCATGCATTTAGCTACAGTCATGTCTATATACTTAATTTTTTCTCAGCTAGAACTAAACACGTGATGGCCAAAATTATATAGACACGGTTTAGGGTAAACTCCATATTAAACAGGCTGAGGTTGTCCACATACTTTTGGAGATTTATTTTAGTGTATTTTACTAACATATATCCAGCACTAAATCCATAATTCTGCTTCCTCTTCACCATCTACACTTCCTGCTGTGTATGTTGTGTTGTGTTGTGTTGTGTCAGCACTCACTGAGGGAAGCCCGCATTGTAAGAAGGGCGCGAAAAGGGAAATTTCCAGACTTCATTCACTTTTTGCTTTGAAGACATCAAAGTTTCAGTTTCCAGTTTCTGAGCATGAAATTGTATATAAACTGCAAGATGTCCCCATGCTCATCAGAACCACAACCAGCACACAGAAGGAGAACCAGAACCTCCAGAACCTCCAGAACCTGCAGAACCTGCGCATCCTCTCTGACTGTAAGTTGTTTTCTTCTGTCCATTTTGTGTTTCAAGGTGTTTAGAGTTCTGATGACACTTTACTTTCAAACTTAGACCTTCTGCAGAAAACAGAGAAAGAGAAAAATCATTGAAAAGATTCAAATCAAAACCGACTCTGAGATTTTTGAGGTTTAAACAGAAAAATATACTTTGTTTCTGGTTTTTATTCAGCACTTTTTTGGGTCTATATTTTATTCTACAGTTGACTGATTATTATCATCATTATCATTAATTGATTATCGATCAGTCTGGTTTGAGGTTTACAGTTTCAGCTCCTGCTTTCTAAAATCTTTCATGTGTGGTGATAAACTTCATTGTTCCAAAGTCATGTAGAAAACCATGTAGTTACAAAACAAAAAGGTACATTTCACAGTTTAGCTCTTAAACATTCAGTTCTCACTCCTGTTTTTATCCATAACATGTTTTAAAGCAAAAATGAGGTCTGACGTTCATTAGGTCGGAGGTTGAACTCAGTCTTCACACATGCAGAAGAAGAATCACAGACAGTTTGAGCGGAGAAGCTGCTCTTTAAGTTTCATTTCATCTTAAAGCAACTTAATCAGTGACTCACTGACGCATCTCATCTCAGGCGTCTTCGTCTTCGTCATTTAAACCCGAGCTCGGTTTTTTAACATCAGCTGATGGCGTTCGCTGAAACTGAGCGAGTTGTTTCCACCGCCGTCATGGTGGAACCTGATGCATGGAAAGAGTGTCGCGTTATTACGACGAATGCCAGCCGAGCGTCCGAATACGTCACCTCGCCGTGCTACAAATATTCGCGCTGATCGAAGAGTTGAAATTCAGTTTGACGTCCCGACGACGACTCGCAGGTCAGAGTTCACCTCAGTTTTATGGATAACCAGATCGATGTTCATTTATTACTATTTTATTACTACTATATCATTTTCTTACCTCTGATATCACTTTCTATTTCTAGGCATCTGTGTTGGTATATTACTCTTGAAATGATTCGTTTTATTTCGCTGTTTTACTTTTAATGTTGTTCTGTTGTATCAGCAGTCATCCGTGTAGCACATGCTGTTGTTCTAGTCAATTCTGTACTAATACGGAGCTCAAAGCGTGTCCACATATTTTTGACCATATAGTGTCGACATGGAGAAAATACACTGTATGTCCAAAAGTATGTGGACAACCGAACATTGTAACTAATAGCATCAACACAGAGTTTGTTCACGTGATTTTGGTCGTTCAGTTCATTTTAGGTGAATTCTCCTAAAGCAAAACTGTATTTAACCTAAAATATGTGGACAAACTTTGGCCTAACTCAATATTAGAGCCATACTTACGTGTCCACATACTTTTGGACATGTATCTTCTTGCTCCTTCAACCCAATAATAACACATAAAAAGATAGACGTATATGTTATGTATAATACAATCATATTCTGGATGTGCACTGACAAAATTTAAAATACAATTTTTTAATAATAATTTGATTTAATATTAATATATATTTAACCACTAAACATGACAGATAATTTAACATGTGATGATGAGTTAAATATGAAGCATGGTCACACCAACAGGTTGATTTATTGATGCTTCAGATAAATTTTGTAGGAATCAAAATAAAATCCAGTGAATCAGCTGAAGGTGACTCACTTGGCGGCGGATTCTGCTGCTGTGGTTTCGATCAGACTCGTTGTAGTCTGATGACTCACTCAGGTAGACGGCCTCTGATTGGCTGATTGGTCCTGACATCCAGCCAATTAACTGCTCTGCATTCCAGGTTACCTGAGCTTACCTGAGGTTGCCGGCTCACACAGCACACGCCTGAGATCACACCTGAGAATCCAGGATCCGTTCACCAGCAGAACCAGAACCATGACGCCGTCTTCAGTCCTCCTCCTCGTCTTGCAGCTCTGCAGCCTCCAGCTGATGGCGGTCGCTAGGCCGAGATGTTGGTTGCCAGGAAACGTGGTGCAGAGTGCCCACCACCTGCTCAGAGACATGGTACGACCTGGACCCTCACATGCCGCGATGCTCCGCCGGCTGCAGCCTCCATGTTTAAACCTTCTGTCTGTCCTGCAGGGGGGAGCGTTTCCTGTCCAGTGCCTGCCATACAATGTCAACGTCTCCTTACCAGACTCTGTCTTCCCCAATCGCTCTCAGGTAAGCCTCTGACCGGAGCCTCTCAGCCAGTCACACAGCTGCATTCTTTATGTTAAGTTTGTTTGCAACACCTTGACGTCTGATTGGTTCTCTGCAGTGTCGCCATGTATTGTGGGTAGTGTACGAGTCCCTGCGGGAGGCGGAGCTAATGTTCGAGGAGCATGACTTACCTGTTGGAGAGGGCGGAGTCAACTGGGACGAGCAGAAGTTAGACAACTTCCAGAATCTTCAGAACCGGCTGGTGGAGCAAGATGGCAGTTGTGTGAGTACCAGAACCATTCATTCAGTCATTCACCCACTCATTCATTTATTCATTCATTCTTTTATTCAGCCATTCATTTCTTAATTAATCCAGTCAGTCATTCATTTGTTTATGCATTATTTTATTCATTTAGCCACACATTCATTCATTCATTCAGTTAGTCATGTATTTATTTATTTACTTATTCAGTTATTCGTTTTTTCTTTTATTTATTCAGTTATTCACTAATTCCTTCATTCATGTATTCACTTTGTGTCTCTGCAGCTGTCCAACGTGAGCTCTTCAGTCGTTTTGTCCTCGTACTTCAGCAAAGTGACAACCCTTGTCGAGCAGCAGGTAAAAAACAACAACAAACAAGCAAACACACAAACACATTTTATGATTTCAAACACAAATTGTAAATTTTACAAACTTTTTTTCATTAAACTGCATTAACAAACTTTGACTCACTGTCAATAACATGTAAGTAACAATGAGTTAAGCATAAACTAAGCAAACAAGATAAATAAACTGATGAAAACGATGCCTTTAATGTAAACACTGTAAACACATGCTGTCCAGTGATTGGACCTTCAGTGTGTCAGTCAAAGTGTGGGCCAATCAGAGCTAAGGGGTCTGTGTGTGTGTGTGTGTCACAGGACAGCGCCGCCTGTGGTTGGTTTGCTCTGAGGAGAGATCTGCTCTGGGTCCTAAAGTCCGCCCTGCAGAAACACCACGCCTGCTTCAGATGGAGCCACGCCCATTGATGTCACATGACTATGCCTGCCGAGGACCACCATGGCCACGCCCACTGAAGACTGACTGGGCGACATTTAGCGAAAATGCAACCAACAAATATTTATATTTTTTTAATCTATTTATTTATTAAGGACATTTTCATATTTATTTTTTTTACATTCCATATTTAATATTTATAGTTATATTTATGTTTTTACATTCCGTATTTATATTTATTTATTTATTTATTTATATTTATTTGGAATCTTTTTGTACCTTTTTCTCAGAATAAAGCATCATAAAAGTCACAGTCTGAACTTTACTTCAACACAAACAATGACTCCTTTAACTCACAAACTTAAAAACAATCCTGCATTTTGGTTCTTTCATAGATTTATTATAGGTCGCCTGGAAACATGACAAAATTTACTAGGTCTAAAATATACATACAGAAATGCTAATACTTGATTAAATGTTCTTTGTCCATTTTCACCTCAGTAAGGTTCTTTTGGTTTCTGTCCACAAGCTTCTGGTTGTATCTTTGACCCCCATCTGGACAGAATCGGTGCAGAAAAACTGAACTTGCTGGTTTTCTGACACAGACTTGTTTCCTCATCACAGTCCACAGGCTTTTGATGAGGTTTAATTCAAGGCTGTGGGGAAACTGGTCTAAAACCCTAATTACAGCCTGATTTGCTCATTTCTGTACCACTTTAGATTAGTGTTTTGTGTTCATTATTGTGTTGAAACACCCAACTGCCTCCAAGACCCAACCTTCTGGCTGATGATCTGAGGTTTTCCTGAAGAATGTGGAGGTAATCCTCCTCCTTCTTCATTATTATTTACTTTGTGTAAAGCTCCAGTTCCACTGGCACCAAAACAGCCCCAGAGCATAACACTGCCACCACCATGCTTGATGATATGTTTGGTGTTCTTGGGGTTAAAGGCCCCGCCCCCTTCTCCAAGCATGTTTCTGGTCATTGTGGCCAAAGAGCTCAGTTTTTGTTTCATCTGACAACAGAACTTTCCTCCAGAAGGTCTTTTCTTTGTTCCTGTGATCAGCAGCAAACTTCAGTCGAGCTTTAAGGTTCTGCTTCTCGAGGAAGAACTTCCTTCTTCATGCAGCCTCTCAGCTCATGTTGATGTAAAACACCGTGGACACTGACAGCTGTGTTCCAGCAGCTTCTCATTCATTGCAGACCTGATTTTTGGTGATTCTTGGTTGACTCTTGACCATCCTGACCAACTGTCTCTCAGCAGTGAATGCTGTTACAACTAGTCTTTGTGTTTCTCATCAAAGATTTCTACAGTTCACACTACATATACCGAATATCTGCAGCTGAACTCTGAACTGGTTTTAATTCCAGTTTGAAATATTTACAGTTTAATTCTAAATCATTGTAATAAATTTGTTACAGATATATTTAATTTTGTTTAACTGACCTACATTGTCCTTCTAAGATTCAGACTGGTCTGCCTCTTCAATGCTTTTAAGAAGATGATTGAATTATAATGGGGTTTTTTTTTTGTTTTGTTTTGTTTTTTTCTTACATTTTAGACATTTTTGTGATAGATAATTAAAAATATTAACGAAATATTTAATACTACAACATTAACAACACTGTTGGGACGTTACTGGTTATTACTAATTACTGGAAATATTATTAGGAAGTTTATGACTTTTCTCTAATGTTGTTCGGGCACTTTTATTCATATTTTTCTGATATATAAACAAACGTATCACTGATATGTTTTTGATTAATTTACTGTGTTCTGGGTTTTGGATATGCTGCTAATATTTTTGGAAATTTATTCATATTTTTCTGCAAATTTTAGTCTATTTTTTCTGTTTTCTTTTTTTAAATATAGATGCATTTCAATGTTTGAAGTTAATTTAAGAAAACATCCAGTCTTTTGTTGGTTAAAGAGTCTAGGAGACAAACTTCACCTATTAAGTACCTGAAAACAAATCAGTAACTGATAATAATCGCCTGCAGCTGCTTACAATAAGACGATGAAATGTGTTTTCACTGATACTGCAGTTGCTGTGAAACTGTGAATAAGAAAAATCTATGTCATAAAATGCTGACAAACTAATTAGGATTTGTTTTTTATTAACGCATTTGATCAACACAGCAGCTGTTATATAACCTAAACACCGGAGTCAAACCAGGTCACAGTTTTACTTTCACTTTCCTCCCTGTTCAGACTGTAAACACTGACTCAGCTCTGACTCATCTGAAGCGTTAAGCTCGTGTAGTTTTTGTGCAACAGGCAGCAATTATTCCATAATTAATCCATCAGCAGCACTGAGCTAAATCTGTCCTTCCACTCACACATTCATCCATTCATCCATTCTTCTATGAATCCAGCTCAGACTGCAGCAGGACTGAACACGTCAGAGAAAACAGAGAAAACTTGATTTCTGCTCCATAAACGAAGGAACAGCCTAAAAACAATCCAACACAGAAGTTTACATTCTCCAAATTTAGTAAGGACAGTTTGAATTTACTGAAAAACAAAGTTTATTTCAGCTGCAAACCGTGAACTGAAACAATACATAACTGAGGCAGGTTTAAGTTTGTCTGGTAAATAATCCTTTAAGTATGTATCTGATCCTCCAACACAGGAACAGCATACAGCTACATTACAGATACAGTTACTCTCCACCTCCCTGAAGGGATTTCCTGTTTCATTCATTTGCTAAGACAGAGACAAAACACACAATACACAAAGTCTAGGATGAATCTGACTGAGAGCATTTTAATTATTCATCATCATGGGGAATCCCTGTGGCTGCAATAATCTGACATGACGAAAGTTTAAAGCTGTGTGTTTGTAAAATCCCTTTTGTTTCTCTATGTTTTTTTCAGAATCCTGCAGTTTAAGATAAAAACTTTATTAGAAATGTTTCAGTCTTTGCACATTTTACTGACTTCAGTGCAGATAACTGTTTCAGTCCTTCTGACAGTTGTCGCATTTAAAAAAGTTTCCACAAACAACCGGAGAGTAAATACTTGTTTATTATCAGACAAACACACCAACAGTCAGTTTCTCTGCTCACACACACTGAGACTAAATGATAAAAACCAAACAGCACCATTGAACCCACACACTGTAAAGTGATGTTGAGCAGCACTGTAAAGTGATGTTGAGCAGCACTGCGGCCAATCAGAATCCAGAATCTGATGGGAAGAACTCAGTCATGACTTTGACGCATGTACATAAAAATTCAACGTGTGGTTTATTTAATTTAATAAATATTAACAAGGTGATCCAGATTTGCTGCTCCAACAGGTGGTGCTGTTGCTCCATGTTCATATAATTTAGAGCTTCTTCTGAGAAATGTTTGGAAAAACAAAGACAGGTTACCATGTTGGAGAACAAACATTTCTTTGATCGCAACAAGTGGATGAAACAAGATGGCATCTCATTTTAAATTCCAAGCATCTAAAACAATCGGATCTTGTTTGTTTTTACATTGAAAGCAGTTAGTGCAGTCATTATTTCAACTTAAACAGTAGCCGATTAGCCAAACTTTAATATGGAAATTATGTGAAAGTTAGCTAGAGAGCTAATGATTGACAGCAGGTTATTCATCCGTGACGAACCAAAGCTTTTTGCTAAAGGTTAACATTAGCTAACTAGCTGGCTATATTTCATTGCTAACCGGTTAATATTTGGCAGCTAGCAGGACTGTGTTGCTAACAAGCTAGCATTGTTCTTATAAAATGGCTCCTGTTGTAGGTTTTCTTTAAAAATTTAAATTTAAAGTTACTGTTCTGGACTTTGATTGGCTGCTTACTGAGAGCACACGCCCCCTGGTGGAGGGTCATCAAACTGGAACATTGTGTTGTTCTTTTTTTTCTTTTCTTTTTTTTTCAAATTCTGTTGTTTTAACAATAAAGTGGATTGAACACATCACAACAATTGAAAATAACCATCAAACTACATAGAATGCAACACTGTGTAAGCCCCGCCTCCACACATGGCGAAGTTCTACTCCTCTGTGGGCAGAGCCTCCACAGGTTCCTGTTGGTTGGGGTCGACGTAGTCTTGGTTGAAGGTGACAGAGTCGGCTCCCAGTTTAAATCTGTGGACGGCCAGCAGGGACTGAACGGCCTGCAGAAACATGGAAACACATGTCAGAAGGAACATGTAAAGAGAGTTTACATGTCAGACCGAATATGCGAAGAGTGTAAACATGCTGAGAAGAACACATGAAGAGCATTAGCATGTCAGAAAGAACGCGTGAAGACAAAACATGTAAGAGAGTTATGATGTTAGACAGGACACATAAAGAGAGTCAGTCAGTAAGACAAAACACATGAAGAGCGTTAACATGTCAGAAAGAACAAGTAAAAAGAGTTAACATTCTAAAGACAACACATAAAGCGCAGTAACATGTCATTCATGCACTGTAAACATGCCAGAAAGAACACACGGAGAGTGTTAGCATGTCAGAAAGACCATGTTAAGAGAGTTAGCCTGTCAAACAGAACACATAAAGAGCTCTAGCTTGTCAGAAAGAACACTTAAAGGGTGTTTTTTGGATTCTTTACCTTCTCAGTGTTTCAAAGCTGCAGCTGTCACCTTGTTTGTGGCATGCAGTTACCATGGTTACAACTGATGACAGTGTCCATGAGATCGTGCTGTAAAACAAAAGACTGATTCTGTGGTTCTGCTCACCGAGTATTAGCATTAGCATTAGCTGAAGGGCTGGAATCCTTTTGTGTATGCTTATGGTGAAGCTGGACTGTAGGAGATCCTGAACACAGGGATTACCGTGTTTATGCACCATGTCAACATACATGTTACACAAACATGATGAGTACAGTAACATCAGAGCGCCAGCAGGAGGCAACTGACCAGGAATTCTTTATGCACCACACACTTTAACTGCTTATACGTTTAATCTTCATGTCACATCATCATTACACTCACATGATGACATCATATCAGACATTATGTCATCACTGTAATAGGAACACAAATGGTATAGTTCATGAATCTGAGGAAACAGCATCTCTCTGTTACCACGGTAATAGGAAGGCACTTTGGAAGACAGGCTCTTAAAGCGGCCAATCAGAGTCCACGCTGAGCTGATGAAGAAACTGGAAGCACAAAAACACTTGTCTCTGATTGGCTGAAGGAGACAGGTGATGTTAGGTGTGTGTGTTTCAGGCGAGAGAAGGGATGAAGAGTTTGTTGTATTCTTCTTCAAAGGAGACTCTCTTCAGCCGTTCCAACGACAGCAAAGTGAGCCCTCCCTGCATGCAACATATCACAATATATCACACCATATAGCAATATATCACAGCATATCACAACAAATAATGACATATCACAATATATATCACAGCGCATCACAATATATCATGATATATCATAATATATCACACTGTATCGCAATATATCATGATATATCACAATATATCATAATAAATTATGATATATCACAACATATCACAATGCATTGCAATATATCACGATACATCACAATATATCACAATAAATTATGACATATAAAAATAATTAAGCTATATCACAATATATCACAACACATCACAATATATCATGATATATCACAATAAATTATGACATATCACAACATATCCGCACATCACAATATATCATGATATATCACAATATACCACACCATATCGCAATATATCACAACATATCACAATATAAAATGACATATCACAACTTATCATACAATATATCACAACACAACATACAACACATCATACACATAAATAACATATCACAATATATAAGGAAATGTCAAAATATAGCTTTACATATCACAACATATCAAACTACATGTCACATAGAATATTTCAAAATATCAATATACACATACAACATACTCATGCACACCTCTGTGTTACTTGTGAAAATTGTAATGTGACATGTAAAATTTAACATGTCACCTAAAATATGTCCATCCATCCATTATCTATACACCGCTTAATCCTCACTAGGGTCGTGGGGGGCTGGAGTCTATCCCAGCCGACTTAGGATGAAGGCAGAGGACACCCTGGACAGGTCACCAGTCTATCACAGGGCTACACGTAGAGACAGACAACCAAGCACACTCACATTCACACCTACGGACAATTTAGAATCACCAATTAACCTCAACATCTTTTTGGACTTGTGGGAGGAAGTCAGAGAATTTACCTATTTACTGTAAAAATCATTCATCAAGACATTATGTGGCTCTCTTTAAAACTTCACTGAAAAAAACGGAAATTTAACCTCACAGAGCAAAGAGTTATTTAAGGTCAACAAAGCATTTAATTGGACACACAATTCTTATAAAGCTATGAGGACAGGAAAAGTCATCTGTTCTCTAATGTTATCATGTCAAACACCATTAAGATTATCTGAAAAAACACTGTTTTGTCATTGTTGGGTCAGAGGTACTCGGTGCGACATACAGCACCAGACATGTACAAAAACACAGCAAACTGAATGCGATTTCATGGGAACTTTAATCCCTGATCTTTGAACTCTGGCCTGTGTGAGTTCAGTGGCAATCTAAAGGTGCACATCAGCATGAAGACTTTGTAAATAATCTGTTTATATCACATATTCTGTTTCCCTGAACCACCAACATCAATGATTCACAGAAGCGCAGGTGGCAGCAGAGTGTCAGGCTACAGGTGAGCAGGTACGTACCCAGGTGAAGATGGAGAAGAAGGAGAAGACAATGGTGGCTCTGGCAGCATCAGCTCCTTCCTTCAGAGGGTTGTCTTCTTCCTTAGAAACCTGCCACTGATTGGCCAGAAAACAGAAGCCCACGAACCAGATGAGAGACCACAGAGCTGCAGAAGACAAAGGTAACACATGGGGTTAGCTGTGCATGTGTTAACACACAAACAGGTAAGGGCCATCACAACAGCACAAGAGGCGGAGTCTCACCTGACGCACCGATGTCGGCCATGACTGCTTTCTTGCGGTCTTTCACAGCGCTTATCTGAGGGAAATAAATGTCCAGCGCCAAGAAAGCAGTGCAGCACAGGAAGCAAAGTGTTCCCATGGCGACACCATAGTTGCAGGCATACTGGTTGCGGTTGAAGATGCAGAACTCTTCGACCTCCTCAGGTCGGTTAATGTAACCCTCGTTAGCGACGCAGCCCAGGATCACGATGGAGAAAAGCTGGAGGAGGAGACAGTTAGCTCAATGCTAATGGGCACATTTATTCTCAGTGCAACAGGCTAAATGCTAACTGTTAAAACTAAAAAGTGCGTCTTTTGGATTTTTCAAAATGTGATTAATAATGACGAGATAAATTAATACTGGCCATTGAGTGAAGCACTTTGTATGATCACATTAATCTGATGTCAGTTAGTGTAACACTGCAACAACTGCCCCTCTGCAAACAACATAAATATTCTTTTAAATCGCAAATGAAAATATTAAATCTGCCAGTGGAGGAAATAAAACCACCAAAAAACTGTCCGTTGCGAAAACAGTCTGACTTGAAAACCAATGAACAGCTTGACAGTCAGAAAGTTCCACATTATTTACATTTTTACAGTCTCTAAACCCTTTTTCACACAACCCTGCACATCATCTCTCTAGAGATGTTTCACCGTGCTGAATGTATCTTCAAACAACTTCCTCTGTGCAGCATCCAATCAGAGCAGCAGCAGTGTGGAACAGTGAGGTTTTGTCCCTGAGTCTTGTGTTGAGCCTCAGGAATGTTAACTCCAGTCTCATGACTGAGTCACAGGATTGAAAATGAACCATCTGTAACTGAACTGAACCAGAAACTGACCCAAATCCAGATTAACCAGAACAACACCAAAACCAGAAAGCAACCAGGACAAACAGATTAATTTAGACTTGATTATATTCAGGTTCTGCGTGGCTGCACGGATGTCTACAGAACCAGATTTCATTCAAAATATGTATTGTTTTAGACTTGATGTTGCTTAGTTCTTGTTTAGCTGCTTGTGATAAAATCTCTTCTGTTCTGTTCTTGGTTGTGATTGGACGTCATTCAGATCCAATGACAGAAACATTACACTGAACAAATTACCAGAAACTGATGTTGACTGAATAATGCACTTAGCATGTTAGCATCTCTTTTATTATGTTAGCATGTTATCAAATACTTATGTTTACAGTTATTTTGCTATGTTGGCAGTTATTAGTTTATGTTTGCATGTTGACAGCTTTTTTGCTATGTCAGCAGTTATTAGTTTATGTTAGCATATTAGCAATTATTAGGTGATGTTAGCACGTTGACAGATATTTTGCTATGTTAGCAGTTATTCATTTGTGTTAGCATATTCGCAGTTATTGGGTGGTGTTAGCATGTTAGCAGTCAGTCATAAGTGTTAATGTCACTGTGACTCACCTGAGAGGTCACACATGTTTGACCTCTCAGGTGAGTCCAGAATCACCTCACCTGGTGCGTTTAGTTTGAATGCTGAAATATTTCACCAATAACTGTGACGTCATCGTTACGTCATCCTCAAATCAGCATCAGACTCACCCAGCAGAGGATCCTGACCACTGTCTGCGGCTGCCGAATGAAGGTCAGAGGGTCAAAAGCTCCACCTGCCTTCCCCGCCCCGTATGCCTGGAAACCATCCATCTAGACCGCGTCCTGTCCCCAGACCAGTTCGGACCAGTTCAGTCCACTTTAACCCTCCTCCACCACCAGAACCACCAGCACCACCGCCCAGCTTAGTCCAGTTAGACCCTGTTGCTGGGCTCAGTTCACTGCATCTGGACCAGCTTACTCCAGTTTGGCCAGTTAGTCCAGCTCGTCCAGTTAGTCCAGTTTGCTCCAGTAAGTCCAGTTTTGTCCAGTAAGTCAAGTTTGGTCCAATTATTCTGTGTGCCTGTGCATGTGTGTGTGTGTGTGTGTGTGTGTGAGTGTGTGCGCTGTCTTCTTCTTCTCTGCTGCTATAAGCTGTTCTGTAATCTGCTTTAATCCTTCTGACACCAGTGTTTGTTTCCCTGAGCTCTGTCTCACAGGCTGTAGACCGCCCCCAGTTGGCTCCACTAATCATATACCGACATTTTTCTAGGCAGAGGTTACAGTCAGCCAATCATAGCAAAGGAGGCGGGGTTACAGAGGATGAGAGGAGGCACTCCCTGAGAGGCGACGCTCAGGGATAAAAACATTACCAGCGCCTAAGATCATGAACCTTGGAGATAAGTTTCTCAGATGACAGAAACCAATCGCTTGTATCAGTTGTGTTTGTTTGTTTGTCTGTTTGTTTATTTATTTGTCTCTGAGCCCTCAGTTGTGTGTGTCAGGCTGTGCTTATCTGTTTGTTTGTTTGTTTGTCTCCAAACCTTCAGTTAAGTCTGTCAGGCTGTGCTGTATTTGGATCACTGTGAATTTCTGTCTGTCAGTTCCACTTCCTGTTTTCTGCTTTGTCTTTGTTTTTACTCTTGTGTGTAAAGTTTTGTTACAGTTGTTTCAGTTTTTACTTTTTTTAAAATTTACTTTTATCTTTGATTTGTTGTTTTGTTAGTTCACTTTTCGTTTTCTTTGTCTACTTTTGTTTTGTTTATGTATTTTTAAAAAAATACTTTAGTTTTTGTTTTGTTTGCTTACTTTGGCTTTGTTTGTTCAGCTTTTTTTTTTAGTTAAGCTTTGAGTTTATTTGTTTGTTTGTTTACTTTTAATTTACATTTTGTGCGTCCTGGTAAAGGGAAGGTTTTTATGGTTCTTTGCTGCTTAGAGGGAATCCAAAGGAAACTGGATGGTTGTTGGGTTCTCTGTTTATATTTATAAAGTCTTTACTTCACTACGTGAAGTTACAAAATGGCACATGTTGTGAATTGGTACTATATAAATAAAACTGATTTAAGTTGAATTTCTTTACTTTCTTTCTTTCTTTCTTTCTTTCTTTCTTTCTTTCTTTCTTTCTTTCTTTACTTTTTCTTTTGTTTGTTTACTTTTGTTTGCTTACTCTTGTTTTCCATTTGTTTGTTTGTGTGTTTACTCTCGTTCATTCAGTGAAATTCATCAACAAATATGTTGCAGTACAGAATTTAATCATCAATTACCAAAGTGAACAAAAACATCAGATCTTCGTTTTGCGAACACTCATCATGTGACGCCGCGTGTTACTCGGTCATGTGACTCTCCTCAGCCAATCGCTGCTCTTCATTATCATCATCATCATCATCATCATCATCATCAGTAGTGGGGGGGCGAGTTCGCCTGAAGAAACCCAGCTACACACACACACACACAAACACACACACACACACACACAGAGTAACATGCAACAGCTAGTCATTGTGCAGACAATCTTTAAATTAGGAGAATTTTGAATGGAGTTTGGTTTGATCTCCTGTTAACCATTAGGTAGCGATGTTTGTCCCAAATGCCATTTTAAAAAAACAAACAATTTTTCACCATCGGTAAGAAAACAACATGGTGGTCAGTGATCCTCAGAGTAACCAGCCAACTCCAGGAAACTCAGTGAGCCTTTAACACCACCAGCTCCAGTCGATCGCTCAGCCAGTAAAGAGACACCAAACTCCAATCAAAATCTGTCAATTTAGCATCTTTGATAACTCATCAGTTCATTAGAGACATCAATGTATGAGAGTCTGGTCACCTCGATTGATTGATTGATTGATTGATTGATTGATTGATTGATTGATTGATTGATTGATTGATTGATTGATTGATTGATTGATTGATTGATTGATACCTTCCAGAAGATGAAACAGAGCAGGCACAGGAGGAGGAGTCCAGAGACGATTGACAGGATGATGTAGCCAATAGGAACTTCTTTCTGTCCATCAGGGGGACGCCACGTCACATTAAGCTGAGTCTGCAAACACACACACATACACACAGAGAAATCTTTCAATAAATGTGTTAATACCAGTGTGTGTGTGTGTGTGTGTGTGTGTGTGTGATTACCTGTGTGTGTCCACTCTGCAGCAGCAGTGGTTGCACTTTTGATGATGTGTTAATGACATCATAGGAGGCAGAGGAAACAAGCTCATAGTTCAAGTACGGAGTCTGCAGGAAGAAACATGACATCATCACCCTCATCTGTGTGTGTGTGTGTGTGTGTGTGCGTGTCATTACCTGTGAGAGTGTGTGTGTCCACAGACGTGCTGATATTCTGATGACAGCACTGAAGTCCCGCTCCAGTGCCATGGCATCACATGCAAACCTGATGCAGCTCACGTTACTGCTGCTGCAGTTCTACACAAACGCATGTATAAACGATTGATCAGTGATATTGAACTGATATTGATCAGGTAACAAGTGTTTGTAACTGTATTGAATCAAGCTTTACCACATGGACAGTTTGTCTGTGTGAGTTTGTCTCCTCCTGCTGGACCAATGGAGACACTGCAGACACACTGGAGGAGTTACTGAGCAGCTGCAGACAGACAGAGACAGATTGTACTGGTTTCTATACTGGTCCTGCTGGATCTCACTGGTTTCTATACTGGTCCTGCTGGATCTCAGTACTGCACTTGATAGTCAATAACAGCATCTTAATACAGAGACTTATGCTAAGTTCTATGAGATGAAATATTGTGTGAATTATTGCGATATAACAACAAATGAATTGAAGAGACGACCGGACGAACAGATGGACAGACAGGCAGGCGGACAGGTTGCTAACCTTGAACGGGTCTATCTGTGATGCATTCAGGGTCCAGCAGCTCAGCGATTCTTCTGTAGCATTGGCAAAGACGTAGAGCAGGAAGTGATGTCGCCATGTGGAAGGGAAGTCCACCGTCAGCCGGACGTTGACCGAACTTGGACCCTGATTCCTGAGCTGCAGAACAATAGTATTATCAGTATCAATATCATCAATATTATTATTGTCCATCCAACTGTTTTCACTGAAGCAAGTCAGCCAGGATCTGTCGCAGCACCTTACATCACCCTGCCTACAGTCAGTCACTGTGATCTGACCTCTGGGAGGTCAGCATGTTGAATTCACACTAGTCTCACCTCGTAGACATGCTCCACCAGCGGACCTACTTCCTCCAGACTCTCAGGATGCACTGCAGGCTTCCAGTCAGGGAGGGGCAGGACCACTTCTGGAGGGGTGGAGCCTCTGCAGAGAGACATCTCAGTGTTCAGTCTGCCAATCAGCGCTAAAGCTGAAATGAGAAACAACGGGTATTTTTTTTACCCTCTAATCTCCAGCGTCGCCTCGGCTCTCACCTGGACGTTCACGCTCACCTGGTTACTGCACGCGCTCACTGAGTTCTTACTGAGACACAGACAGATATCATGTTTACAAAGACTCCAGCAGCCTCCAGTCAATCAACAGAGGTGATAATTACCTGCAGACTATGAGGACGAAGGTGATGTGACTCTCCACCTGCTCCAGGTGAGCGGCGCTGAACAGGAGACGAGTCTGCAGCTGCACATGGATAAAACGTATTTTAATGTGACTACATTACCATGGTAACTGATGCTGCACAGCCGCATCACCATGGTAACTAAAGCTGAGAAGCTAACCTAGTCTGGAGCAGGTTCTGTTCAGAGTTTAGATTTAAATTGGCTGTGCAGGTACAGCAGGATAAGCTGGTTAAGGTTATGTTGAGCCAGCTAAGAGAAAGTCTGGATAGACTGAACCTGCTTCCTGGTTCAGACCTCAGTTTGATGGTCACATGTCCAGGAGTGTTTCCATGGTAACAAACATACTTACCGAGTGTCCTTGTCTCATGGGGTTACCGAGGTCACAGGTCACTAAGATGGTCTGGTTGTCCTTCCTCTGACCACACACCGGCCTGTTTACACCCTGCACACACAGACCACAATGTAAACACTAACAACAGCACAACGTGAACACTAACAACACAACGTAAACACTGGAAACAACACAAAATAAACACTAACAACACAACATGAACTAGTTTATCAAGGCTCACCATAATTTTAAAGCTAATACAACAATGTAAAACCGTGTAGGTCCGTCAGAGCAGGCTGAGGGGAGTCGAGGTGTTTTTAGACCAAGAAGCAACAAGAGCAACCACTGGTCATACAGCCTCCAGCAGAGGGTCCAGATGGACCCGCCTCAGAAGAGGGCAGCCAGGAGGTCAAAGGTATCATGGATCTGACTGTTCTGATCCAGCAGCAGATGGTTCATGTGTTTTTACTATTTGCTCTCATTAAGGTTTGTATCCGATGCATTTAAACGAAACTATCAAACAATTTTCTCATGGCTATGGATGTAGTTTTATTAGCATTAGCATTATTAGCAGTGTGTGTGTGTGTGGGTGTGTCACCTGACTGCTCTGGAAGTGTGTGTGTTCAGGGAGTCGAACCACCAGCTCAGTCTCGTAGGCTCCCTCTCCGTTATTTACTGCCGAAACCGACAACAGCACCGATTGATCCCCACCGACCAACACACTGTCTGACACACTGACACACACACACAAACACACACACACAATCAGCTCTTCTGTTCTCCGCTTGTTGTGATGTTTGTTGGGGTAATATCTTTATTGACTCACGGCTCAGCACTCAGCTTCAGGTCAGGAACACAAATGTTGTCATCGCCACAATCCAGAATGATCCTGGTCTACACACACACACACACACACACACACACACACACACAAAGATACACACAGTTTGTTTAACTTCATGAGCATCATGTCTGTCCATCTCTGTAAGGACGGGTTTTGAGATTTCAGGGTGAAAACACAAGTTGCTTTTTTATCAGTACAAACGTGTGTGTGTGTGTGTGTGTGTGTGTGTGTGTGTGTGTGTGTGTCTTAAACTCACTTGTGTGGCTGCGTGTGTCTGGCCATGCAGCAAAGCATGCTGGGTCGTGTTGAGGAGGCTGACGTTCATGGAGATGAAGATCGGACTCAACTTATCCCGAACTTCAGCTTCAGACTGCAGACACACACGCGAACACAGGTGTGACTTTGTTCACCTGTTCTTCATCTTTGTGTGTTCACTGTTCTGTCGCTCACCCTCAGGTAGGCAGTACGGTTGATGCATGCCACGCCCACCTCCCTCTGAACCGTCAGCTTCATCATCTCCTGCGGCTGATTAGTCAACAGTAACAAGGTCCGTCGTGCTGTTGGCTGCTTCATCCTGTCCAGCTGTAGCTCCACCCACAATGCTGCCTCAGCCAATCGGCAGGGTGACGGAAAAAATGACAGCAATAACAGGGAAACGTTATGTAGCAGACAACAAGGAAGACACATGTACCTGAAAACACCTTTACCTTCGGACAGATATACCTGAGGACATGTCTTCTGGTGACATTACCTGTGTTCTGAGGAATTCTGTGACCAGACACATGAACACACATCTGGATAACAAAACTGAGGAGACACAGAACATCTGCCCTTAAAATTAGATTTACTTAAACATTTAATGTAATTTTTAGAGAATGCTGACAGTCCCTGATTAGCAGCTGATTCACAAAAAGAGGTTTAGGAAAACAACTTTAAAACAACACCATTTATCATTTAATAGAAGTTTTTTAACTTTTAGATGGTCCTTGAACTACTCCTGTGTGATTTTCCACAGCATGCCTTTGGGGCTTGTCCGGGATCATAAAACCTGTTTTCTGCTTCATGAAAGAAGTAGCTTTTTCTGCAACAATATGCATAGTAGAGTATAATATAAATATTTAAATATCTATAATATGTGGAGCTTCCACTTTTTTCCTGTGTCAATAACACCTGGACACTTGGAAACATGTTGGACATGTTGGTTCTAGGCTTTTCGCATTTTTGTAAAATAAATGAAGACTTTTTTTTTTCTGTTTCTTGACTCCCACATGTTGTCTAACATGCAAAAATATATTTGATTGCAACTAAACATCATGGATAAAATGGATTTTTGGAAATAAGACTGGCTGTTTCAAAGACTGGGAGTCTTTCTGAAACTTTTGGAAATCATTTTATAATTGTGTCATACTGAGAAAAGACATTTTTGGGTTCTCTTTCCTCCTTCGTGGTTGTTTTGTTTCCATAGAGGTGCAGGACTTTATATTGCAGTGAAAAATGAGTCACAGTGAAGAAAAACTGGACTCACAGTGAACAAACATGAGTTCACAGTGTGGAAAAGTGAGACAGAAACTACTGTTAGTTCAGTTAGTTAATCAATAAGTTAAATGTTTGAGGTTACAGGCTGCTCTAACAGTCAAAGCAGGGACTGGTCGGTAGTTACCAGGACACAGGTGTGTTTCCTCGATGACACAGTTTGACGTCTGGATTCAGGAAGTCGGGCAGCAGAGAGACGGAAACTCTGGACCGGATCACCGCCTGCGATCTAAACTCATAAACACAACGTTAAACTAAAAAAAATCACTTCTAATTTTTTAAGAGGCGACTGGCTGAAGACTCAGAGTCTCATTAGTTCTGTTAATCTGTTCTGTTGTTAGAATAAAATAAAACCTCCTTCAGGTGACTGAGCTAATCTATACATGCAATCCGTAATTTGTAAACAGGATTTATCTGCTGAGGTTAAATTCAGTTTTCAGTGAGGTCTCACCTGTAAAGGAAAGCTCGGTCTGCAGCCCAGGCTCCAACCAGCAGATCTACACACAGACAGGAGTTTAGCCTGTTATTGATTATTCCTTGCTGATCTGCAATAATCAATAACTCCTGAGTGTACCTGGGTATCCATTCTCATCAATGTCATTTCCCGATCTCAAGGAAAAACCAAACGCCGTCCTGCTGCCAGGCAACGGGCTGTCAATCACCTGAGAGGGCTTGGCTGATAGACCATTACTGCTGCCCAGGTAGATGAACACCTGGCCCCGCCCACTGACGCCAGACCAGGGTGCCCCGACGGCCACGTCTGCAGACAGCCACAGTTTAGGAACTGTACTAGCTAACAGGTGTAGCTGTGGTGCAAGGCATGCTGGAAGCAGTTTGCTGGATACAAGGACACTGCTGTGGCTAAATATCATCTAATGTTGGTCCTGCTAACTGCTAGGTGCTACGTGCTAGCTTAGATCACAAGTTAAAGCTCGGCAGCCATTTTGGACTTGTCTTTAGTGATAGATAACTCTGAACAGGTAATGTTTAACTGGCTACCTTGGTAACCGTCCATGTCCAGGTCACCCAGCCCAGCGAGGGCGGAGCCAAAACGCCCATATAGGGAAGGGCCAATCAGTGATTGGTCTGGCTGTCGGGGGAAGGAGCCATGTCTTTTCTGCAGGTACAAAACCACCTGGACAAGAAAAGAGACATAAGTTACCATGGAGACAGTACAGACAAGGAGACTGCACAGACATAACCAGTTACCATGGAGACGATAACAGTAACAAAATAAACAGATAAACAAACATGAAAGTGCTCAAATTACAAATACTGAGAGCAGAAGGAAGAAGTTAGAAAAGTTTATGAAAGCTGATATAGACTAGTTGAGACATGTTAAGACTAGTTGGGTCATGTTCAGACTAGTTGAGACTGATTCAGATGAGTAGAGACTAGTTAAAATGGGTTAATTCTAGTTAAGACTGTTTCAGTCTTGTTTAGTCTGAGTGAGTCTAGTTAAGCCTAGTACAGAGTAACTGAGACTAGTTGAGACTGGTCCAGACAGGTAGAGACTAGTTAAGACTGGTTCAGACAAGTTGAGACTGTTTCATTCTAGTTGGGTCTAGTTCAGACTAGTTGAGACCTATGCTCCGACTGTTTGACAACTCGAGCTGAACTAATATCAAACCTGTCCTCTCTCCTGTGGCATCTCCATCACTCTGTCCATAAAGAGAGGCGCTCCGACCAGAACGTCCTCCAGGCTGGACAGAAACACATACAGGTTCCACATTTAGACCAGAACCAGAACCAGAACCACAGAACTGTCCTGATGTCTGACAGCATACGTTCTCACCCGTCACCGTTTACATCAGTCACTGCAACACTGTGTCCAAAGTAGGACGCCACCTATAGGAGACAGACACGCAACTCTGCATTAACAGGAAACAGACACACAACTCTACATTAACAGGAAACAGACACACAACTCTACATGAACAGGAAAAAGACACACAACTCTACATGAACAGGAAAAAGACACACAACTCTACATGAACAGGAAACAGACACACAACTCTGCATTAACAGGAGAAAGACACACAACTCTACATGAACAGGAAACAGACACACAACTCTGCATTAACAGTTTGTGGCTCCACCTGAGCTCCCAGGAAGGTTTGATGAACTTTCAAAGTTCCACTGCTTCTGCCGTCATAGATCTTTACCTGCAACACAAAACAGTAACTGAGAACAGTAGAACTCAGAACCTGAACACCAAAACACAGTGGACTGTATTGTACAGGACTTACTGTTCCTGCTGTGTTCCTGTCGTTTGGAACGCCAACCAGATAATCTGAAACATAAACGGTGCTTATTGATTATTGATAAACGGACTATTATTGAGTCAAATGAGTTTCATTATATTAAATCATCCTGACCTGGTGTGGAGTCTCCAGTCAGAAGACCAGTGGCCACTGAATAACCTGACACACAGGAACATAGAACTCCATTCAGTTTCTGTCGCATTGTACAGGACAAGCTCTGAATCCTGGGAAATATAGTAACACTGTTTTTTCTGTAAGCTCCGATGTGGCTCGTCACAGGTATGCATTTCGGAATACTCACCACGGTACAGGTCGTAACCTCCCCTCTCATCTGATTGGCTGATGCCCTCCACATTCTGGATTAGACTGTTACTCCGCCCACTTTTGATGATGTCACTCACCCCCACTGTGAACACCTGACCTGAAATAAGCGCAGTGATAATCAGTGGTAATGCCATCAGTGATGTCAGCACACACCTGCAGGTGTGTCCACTCACCTTGGAAGAAGAAGCTTCCTGGAGCTCCAAGGATGAGGCGACCGTCCTGCGACATGCAGAGACGCTGTTACATCATCAGGTATACAGTGATCACACACCCACAGGAGTGACTCCGCCCCCACCTGCTTACCTTGGTGATGTCAGCGCTGAAGCCCACCTCACAGAAGCGCTGGTCGTTTCCTAGACAACAAAGACAGAGACTCTGAAACAAAACCCAGACTGTTTGTCCTTCCCCCGTCTATCTGTCCTTCCACCTGTCTTTCTGTCCGTCTTACTGTTGTTCATCCGTTTGTAGTCGTCCTCCATCAAGATTCCTCTGCAGGGGGAGAAGGGGGTGGAGCTTCCTGTCTGGTGGTCCAGTAGGAGGCAGTTCCCCACAGGTGTCTTGCCTGACTCCATCCCTCTGCTCTGAACATTCCATTGGAAGAACGGCGCACACGCCTGGCAAGTAAACAGCATTACAGTGAGTGATGTTCATGTAACAAGGTGATCGGCCTGCAGGAAGCACCAACGGTACAGTTCTCACCAATAAGTGTGAGCTGCTGACCGACCGAACCGACGCTCCAAACCACTGACCGCTCTTAAAGGTGTGGAAGGTCAGAGCCGAGCTGCTGTGGACCTCATCACCTGCAACAGGTACGAGAGATATGACAAGTGAGACAGGTATGGCAACCGAAACAGGTACAACAGGCAAGACAGGTATGACAGGTAAAACAGGTGCAATACCGTCGGTCACAAAGTTCATGCCTGCAGCGTCAGAGGCGACAGCATATTTTCTTTAACCTGGTCTTTACCTGTGAGCAGAAAAAATCTGACACTCACCTGTTGGGTCAAAGTCAATGATGTCACAGGCCCCACTGCCAGGTGACCAGGGGCAGAGGAACACGCCCCCTCCTTCTGTCACTCCTGATTGGTTGGTATTGGCTTTAGGTGCTCCGACAACAACGAAGGACCTGCAGGAACACAGAAGAGAGTGAAGACCTCAAATGTCTCGTCAGCTTAACTTAAACTAACTTTATCCGGTTAGTTCAGTTAACTTACTCATTGAAGGTGTTAGATGATGAGTTAGTGAAGTCAGTTAGTTTTGTTAATTTAGATGTTCAAGATGTTAAATGATATGTTAGTTAGGTTGACGACTTCACTTAACTTGTGGGAGATGTTAAATGATGGACTAGTTTGGTTGGTTGCTTCAATTAACTTAGTCATCAGTGGTGTTAGATGAGGGTTAACTAGATTAGTTTCTTCAGGTACCTCATTTGTTAATGTTGCTAGATGATAGGTTAGTTAGGGTGTTTTCATTAGTAAATAACTTGTTGATGGTTTTTAGATGATGGGTTGACTAAGTCAGTTTCTTTAGTTTACCTGTTGAGGACGGTGTTAGATGATAGTTAGCTAGAATGGTTACTTCAGTTCACTCACTGAAGGTGTTAGATAACAGGTTAGTTAGTTAATTTAGTCAACATACTTGCTGATGGTCTTAGACGGCAGGTTAGTTAAGTTGGCTATTTCGTTAAGTCACTCACAAAATGTGTAAGATCGTAGGTTCGTCAAATTAGTTTGTTTTAGTTAACTCACCTGTTGTTGATGGTGTGGAAGTCGATGGAAAACCCAAACAGACTTCCTGTTGGTCCCGTGAACGTCACAGCTTCATCGAGCAGGTTCAGACACACACTCAGAGACACACACAGCATCACACAGCTGACCACACACCTGAACACACACCTGAACAAACACATCTCATCTGTCTGTCTTCACCTCTCTGACTGACTGACTGACTGACTGTGGAGGCTGAAGCAGCTTCAGTTTTAATAATAACTCTCTGATAACGCAAAGTTCATGCTGACAGATGATTGGCAGCTGGTTACTTCACTTTAACCACTGAGCTGCTGTTTCCTGTTAACAGGAACTAAAGCTGAAGTCTGTTTATCTGTGGTTTTGTTGTTGTTTGTGGTGAGTTCAGGGACACTCTGGAAGAAGAGACTCAGCTTTACACTGTTTACTGTTACTAAAGTTCTGCCACAGAGAACACTGGTTTAAAAATGGACCCAGCTGGGTGGTCATGGATTATTTTTACTCACCATTAATGTGTGGGTCATTGCTCATGTAATACAGCTAAACCTCAGAGCTGGAATGACTTTAATGAATGACGAATTATGCAAATATCAAAACTCATATAACAGTCTGTAAAACAACAGCCAACAGTGACATGTGGGTTTAAAAAGAAGTTAAAAAAAATATGATGTTGTGTTGTTGGAGCCAATAAAACTATCCAGTTCAGGTAAATAACAGTAAGAGTGTGCTGGCTGAGCTCCGGTTTGAGTGTCTTTAACCCTTTAGCTGTTTATTCTGAGAGCAGCTTATCAGCTACATCCAGCTGCTGCTGCTGCTGGGAATTAGAGCTGCGACTCTGTAAGAACTTTCTGCATAAATCAATCCGCTGTTTGTTTCTAAAATGTCAGAGAATGGTGAGAAATGTGGATTAGCATTTCCTCAAATGCCTTGTTTTGTCCAAAGACTGCTGTCATAGAGGAGGAAAGAAACCAGAAAACATCCACCCTGAAGAAGCTGCAATCACTGAATAGACTGTTTTTATGAAATTACTCAAACTAAATAATCTATTATCAGAATAGTTGGATATTAATTTAATGGTGTGTTCACAGATGATATGAAATGATTAAATCATAAATAGAAGCTCTGAATTTTTGTGAATATTAACTCAACAAATGATCAGTAGAAGCTCTGTAGAGATGTTAATGATGATAAAGTGTCTTTACTAACAGTTGTCAGGTTTGGAACCCTCACTGAGACGTTCCAGTCAGAACCAAAGGAGCAGAACTAAGAAACAACACAACAGTTTTTAACCAGTTTGGCGAACTGAGCTTTAATTTGCTCACAATAACAGACACGTTTGCTCGTCAGATGTTCAGAAATAACAGAAAAATGCAGAGAAACAAGGAGACATAATAACAATAATGATGCGTGTGCTACTGCAGGTGTGACAGCGCCACCTGCTGCTGCTTCTCAGTGAGCACGTGCAGCCGTTTAAGCTCCGCCCACCAGTCTCCAGGGCGACGCCATCTTGGCCGCAGAAGCAGGTCGTTCAGCAGAGCGGCAAGACACGCCCCCAAACCAGGCCCCGCCCAGAACACCTGGAGAGAACAAGCCAATCAGAGCTCAGTGTGTTATTCGGTGTGTTGCTGTGTTACTGTTTGTGTGTTTGTTACAGTGTGTGTCTGTGCACGTGTTATTGTGTGTCAGTGTGAGTATTCTGACCCAGTGGTCGGTGAAGTCCAGTGTGATCACAGCCGGGCCGAAGGATCGAGCTGGATTCATCCCACAACCTGTCGAACTCAACTGAGAAACAAAGTCTGAGTCACATGATGCAGGTTTGAACACAAATCTGTAAATTAGAAGTTAATAAGCGCTAATCATCTGTTGTTATTGCGCCATCAAACATTTAAATCTCAGAGTTCAATGATGTTAACATGAAGAGCTGAGGTCTGAACTATGAAGCAGGTTGAACAAATCCAAACTTTCTCTGTTTGTCAGCTCAACTAAACCTAAACTTCAGTCAGAGATAATGGACGATGCTTATAAACTTTATTTGTAAACCAGGTTTTCTTCTTCAGACTCTGTTCACATAAAAGAAGGCATCATGTGACTCTTCTTCTGCAGTAAATGGATCAATCACGTGCCTCCTACTTGAGTCAGTTTTAATGTAGAGCTATTGGACAAAAAAATGTAGAACTTTAAAGTGGTTTAAAGTACAATATAAATATAAATATAATAACAAAGACAACAAAAAAAATGCGGCAATTAAAACAAAACTACAAGAACAACAATTACAAAAAGACAACTTTAACAACAACAACTATGACGACAACAAATAGAACTACTATAACTGCAACAGTGGTATCAGCAGTGACAGCATTAGTAGTTTTAGTTTTCGTAGTTTTAGTAGTAGTAGTGAAAGTGGTAGTACTAGCAGTAGTACTAGTAGTAGTTGAACAGATACAAACAGGAGGGTTTAAATGGACAGGTGGTGGGCAGAACTTACAGCCACCAGGTGACCCAGACTGACAGCCAGGCCGACCAACAGAGGAGGTGCCACTGTCGGCAGGGGGACGTCAGTGGTCGCCATAACAACCAGGATCAGTTGGAGGGTCACCAGCGTTTCCACGGCAACGGCTTGGTAGAGCCAGACGCCAGCAGACACCTGAACACAAACATGTGACTCACAGAAAACCCTGCTCTCTGATTGGCTGCCAGGACTCCCAGGCGGCGCTAAACTCACCTGGTTGAGAGCAGGCGTCACGTCTCCGGTCAGAGCCAGCAGAAGCGCTGCAGAGGCCACGCCCCCCAGCAGCTGACCAATCACATACAGAGCTGCTCTCCACAGGGGGACCCTCAGGGTCAGGGCCATCGCTATAGTAACTGCCGGATTCAAGTGAACGTCCCCGCCCACACAGACCGCTGCCATGGCAACAGACAGACCAAAGATCAACACCACCTGCAGGGGGTTCGCAGGTGAGACAGGTACCAGTCCAGACTGAACTGCAGACAGGACGCTTTGATTGGTAGGTTGACCCAGTCCAGCTGCCGGAAGCATCAGGACACCTGACAGGCTGGCAGACAGGAAGAGGGTGGTGCCTAAGAACTCCAGCAGGAGGTGATGTAAACAGGATGGGGTGATGATGTCACTCAGGATGAGACGCAGGCAGCGAGAGATGAGCATCATGGGAGTTGGAGTCCGACACCTGCAGTGTGTTAATGTTTAAAACCAGGTGTGCTCAGGTGTTCACCTTCTGTGTTCCTTCATGTTGTATCAGTGCTGCAGCAACAATTAAATTAATGAACCCAAATTCGTTTACATTAAATCTAATATCTAATAGCTTCTCTCAGTATTTACAAACACCTGGATACACCAGACCACATCCAAACACACCCAAACACACCTGAACAAACCTGAACACACCTAAACACACCTGAACAAACCTGAACAGACCTGGGACCTGTACTAAGAAGCGAGATTAACATAGCTAGGATATCTTTCAGAGATCCAGCTTGACTAACCCTAACAACCACACTCAGGATAACCGGTCCTACGATGATGGTATCAACTCGGTAAGTCAACCCAGATTTGTCTTATCTGAGTATGAGCACGTACAAATGAATTGGGCGGTGTTATCGACATCTGACCAATCACGACTATGGACAAGTCTGGCTGCAGAGCGGCTCACTTTACCGCAGAGAAGCAGAATATAATCTTTACAAAGTATGAAGAATAATATAAAAACATAATCGGAGCAAGAAGCAGCACTGTTGCAGCGGCCAAAGACAGGAAGGAATGCCTCACCACACCTAGACACACCTGAACACACCTGGACACACCTAAAACAGTCAACTACAAACAGCAGTTCGTCCAGCAGGACTTACCTGTGAGAGAGGACAGTCACCGAGAGACAGACCACAGGTGAGCTGGTCCAGATCGATGATGAAGAGACGTCCAGGTGTGTCCTCCTGTCTGTCTCTGCCGGTGTATCTTGTGTCTCTTATAAAGCTCAGGTGTGTGCAGGTGGGTGGTCTCAGCACACAGGCTCTCTCTGTGCAGGTGAAGTTTTTCTGCAGTCGTCTGGCAGAAACTGGATCCTTCGAATGTTTCAGGAGTGAAGTCAGAAACGAGGTTTGTAACGTTAATCTACACGTTTATGAATAAAAGAATCTTAAAATCAGGTCAGATCTTCACACACTGATCAAAGAAGTACAGCTACAGCAGTGGATGACAGGTAACAGGGATCAGGATGTTCTTCTACGAAGGTCCACTGAGGTCAGAAGAAGCCTCTTCGCTGAGAGCTGAACCAAACACAGACTTTGTTTTCTTCTATTCAGGTTGCCAACTGTTGGTTCTTAAAACAAGCCCTTCAAATTTAGATCAGACGTAGCTGAAGGCTGAGCAGGAAACGTTCCCTAGAAGTCCTAATAATGTTTGAGGGAATTTCTCGTTTTACATAATGTTAAACATCAACTGAGACGTGTTTTCATCTGAACGTTTTCATGATGTTTTGGAAATTTTGTCAGATTATGTTCCATGATGACAAAAGAAGAAAGTTCTCAAACCAACTTTCTAAAAATGTTTTCCAAGATGTAATCAGGGCTACGTTCCAGTAATGTGATCTGTTACCAAAGGTGGAACATTCTGCCAGCAGGACGGTTTAGGAACACTGTTGATGGAACACGATATAGAACGTTCTTCTATGAAAGGTTTCTGCAGTGCTTCATGATTATCTGTCACATTTTCTTCATTTTTTTAATCACATTTTAGTTGTCTTATATCTTTCCAAGGCTCTTTTTTTATTTTGGTACTTTTGCATAAATTTTTTGTTGTTTTGTCACATTTTGGTTGTTTCCCGTCCGTGTTTGGTTTGTGTTACTTTTGTAGTGACAGCATGTCTTTGTGTAGTTTTCCAGGGTCAAACTGTAAACGTCCGACCCTCACCTGTGCACCTGTTCAAGGGAACAGACGGGTGCAGAGCTGATCATGTTAAATCACAGCAGATCCTGTGTTCTTGTTCGGTTTGTCAGTTGAAGTTGCTCACAGGTGTATCATCCAGGTGTGTGTGAGTGTTAACCTACATTTAGAACCGCAGATGTCCTTTAAATGGGTCAATGAAACTCAGCATCCTTCAGGCTGAAACCTAAGAGCGAGCTGACAGATGCAGCGCTCTGATTGGCTGATACCGAGTCGCGCTGACATTTAAGGACGAGCAGTAACAGTGTGAGGAAGTGGCCTCGATGGCGCCGTTTATCCGTCCATTAGCGTGTTCTCACGTTTCTGGACCGCACACCGTTCCTTCATCCTGAGCGACCTTCAGACTGAAAACAGGGACACAAAGTCACATGATATCTCCAGAACTGAGGCATGATGGGATACCTCAGAGCTGTACAGGGAGTCCTCAGACTCTGGAACCGACCCAAACCTCAAGTTCTGTTTACTACCAGTCATTGTTCTGACGGTGCTTTGCTGTGTTTAATGGATGTTTAAAGAGCAACCGCACGAAACTCTGAAGAACTGCCGCCTCCGAGTTCTCTGGAACCAAACTGAGAACCTGATCCACAACCCAGAACAACTACATGAACATGTTTGGACCAGTTTGGCACTGGTTTTGGATCAATTTTACATTATTTTTGCACCAGTTTTGGACAGCTGAGTCCTCTGAAACCAAACCTGCTTCATGAAACTGGGCTCCATCAAACATCTGGATCAGTTGTGTTGTTGTGGCAGCAGTTTGCATCGCTGTTTTCTCGATGTCACAACATGACTCAGAGACACTCAGTTGAGTCTGTGTTGGTCTGTCAGTGCGTAACAGTAGAAATATGTGTGTGATGTGCTGTCACAGCATTCGTCTCTGTTACTGAAACTCAGTCTGCCGACCTTCAGTTTGTCTTTATGAATCTGAAGCACACAGTCGGGTTCAGTGTTCTTCAAACCTTTATGTATGACAACAAGTTGGACTCATTTTTCACTGCAGTATAAAATCCTCTATGGAAACAGAAGAACGAAGAAGAGGGAGAGATAACTCAGAAATGTCTTCCGCAAGTATGACAGTTAGAATGACAGAAAACAGAAAAAAGATTTAACGATTCACACAAATATATTTTTTAAAAGCTGGAATCAACATATCCAACATGTTCCCAAGTGTCCACAGGTGTAAGCAACACTGGAAAAACTGTTGTCTCTACAGCCTATAGATATGTAGCTGTTTCCATGTTTACAGCCTCTACAGTTTCTTTTTACTGAACTCTGCACATCAGCAGTAGAAAGATGCTTCACTATGCTGAATGTATCTTCCAACAACTTGCTCCTCTGTATACCGTTTTTAACTGTGCTACACACCACATAAAGAAATGAAGCTGCCAAAATGAGACATGGAGAAAACAGTGATTCTGATGAAATATCATGATTTTAGGCTCCGATCTGGTTAATTTTCATGATGGAACATCACACACACGATATTTTCAGGGTTGTAAAGTTAAAACAGCTCAGATCAGAATCAGAATCAGAATCAGAATCAGTTTTATTGCCAAGTAATTTTTACATCACCAGGAATTTGACTTGGTCCATTGGTGCAAAGAAGCAGAAAAGATCAGGACTCAAACCAGACGTTTTACAGTCCTGGTGAAGTCAAACATCTCTGAACAGAACTGAGATTGTGATTAATGTGCTGTAAAAGTACAAATATGGAACCTTTAAATTGTTTTGGACACAAATCTACGGAAATCATTCATTCATTCATTCATTCATGAATGTTTTCTTCAGACTGTTGTTCAGATTGCGTCCAGCAGAGAGCTGCAGAGACACTTGGACATTCAAACTGAAGAACACATGAAGTACAGCGATCCTGGAATACTATAATATGGCAGTGCTGAAATACTGCAGTACTGTTAATCAGTGAGCAGCAGAGGAATCCCCCATGTTGTCTCCTGATCAATAATCAATCAGCCTGATCAGCACTGAACCAGTGTGTGTGACTGGCAGGAGACCCACTGGGCCAGAGGTTCTGGATGAACTGGATGGTTCTACAGTTCTCTGGGATCCTCAGCCCATCCTCGGTCCCAGTCGCCCACCAATACTAGAGATATGTGGCTTCATCTGACCACCACAGTCCAAGTCCAGCACCTGCCTAGCTCCTGTCTTCACCTAGAACCTCCTCCAGTCTTTAATGGAGACCCAACAATCGGACCTGTGAAGGGGAGCAGAGCTCAGACTGGTTCAGGTTCCACAGTTCAGTTCATCAAGTCCCAGAAATCATAAAACCCTAGAGCTGGCGGGTCATCATCAAGTCACAACAAATCTCCAGAACCAGCAGACTGAGCTGGTAAAACAGACAGAACCAATACTGATGGATCCCACACTGATTGATGTTTCCCTGGTCTTAGTCCCCATCACAATGGTTCCACCTCACAGTCTGGTTCTCCTGTTACTGGGCTAGACGACTGACACACTGGAACACTACAACACTAGAACATTGGAACATTGGACTCTGGAACACTACAACACTGGAGCACTAAAACACCGGAGAATTGGACTCTAGAACACTGACACGCTGGAACACGAGAACACTGGAACATTGGACACTGGAACCCTTGAACACTACAACACTACAACACCACAACACTGGAACACTAAAACACTGGGACATTGGACACTAGAACACTGGAACACTGGAACATTGGGCAGTTCTGTCTGCTGATAAACGGTAAAGTTCCAGCTGCTGGAAACACGACTGCAGGTCAAATGCATCAAACAACGCCTACCTATCAGCTGATTGCACTGCTGGTCCCCTGATTGGCTCCAACTTCAGTCTGAGCATAGCATTAGCATTAGCGTTAGCTGCAAGTGAGTATGAGGATGAAGAGGAAAAACTGATCTGTGTTTTTATTCACTGTAATCTGACAGACACACAAAGACACACCACCCTTAAAAAATGAAACATGACAGAAACACGGCAGAGCACGCGCAACGACAAACACAACATTTCACATCATACACAAATTCCTCTGTGTGTCCTCTGTTGGTGTGTGTATGTACTTGGTTTGCTTGTCTGTGTGTGCGTTTGCGTGAGTGTGTGTGTGTGTGTTCTCTGCAGTTGAAAGACAATCAGGACAATCAGACTGAACACTGCAGAAACAGCACAATACAACCTGACTCTGTGTGTGTGTGTGTGTGTGTGTGTG